GGCTGGCTTTCAGTCCGGCTGGTTTCTGGGGTTTTGTTTAGCTTCTATATTTGCAACATAGTTGCTTAGAGTTGCAGCTGAGAGGCCAGCAAGTCAGGTGGGAACGTTGGAGTCCGCAGTCACTGGAGCAAGCAAGCCTCCCTGCTCGCTTCAGTGCATGGCTGCCGGCCGCCATCTTGGCTGACAGTTAATTTGCATAAGGATATGCTGATTAGCCAATGGGAAGGGTAGCGGTCGTATGCTAATTACCATGTTTCTCTTTTATTAGTGTAGATTTTTATTCTACCTTGTATTCTGTTCCCTTCTTTCCTAGTCTTGGAAGTCATATCCATCTTTGCTGCTCAGAAGTTGCCCTCAGCCCACCTCAGCCAGAGATGGTTTACTTCACCTTCCTTTTTATCACATCACTTTGTTTATGTCTCAGCTATAAGATTTATCACACTTATTGTTCACCTATGACAATATCTGTTCCTTACTATACTAGTCTGTTCATCTCAGACTATACTCTGTCCCCTACTAGATTGTGAGTATTTAGTCTTCATTTCCCCAGCACCAAACACAGAGCCTAGCATACACTAGGATGAGGGTGCTGCATAAGACCTCATATCCCACTTAGAGCTGGAAGGTAAAGACAAAAGGGTGGCAGAGAGTGTTTAAAGAAGAAAGAGAAGGGGGAGAATATGGAAATCATAGAGAGAACAAAGTAAGGGGATAAATGAGAGAAGAGGGACAGCATTCTGTGAAGCATAATATATATAAAGAGCTTACCCAAAACAGGCAGGGTTAATTAAAAAAAACCCCACAACATTTCTTTAGCACCTACTCTGTGTGGATAATACTGTTAGACACTTTAAGGATATAAAGTTAAATAAAACACCTGTCCATATAATTTGGTGGGGAAGATAAGACAAAGAAAATAACAATACTGAAAAATATAAATTTCTTAAACTTCTTAAAGTTCAGTATCATTATCAACTTCAAGATTTTTAATATGAAGCCCCTCAGAGTTAATAAGATATTGTTTTTTAAAAATATATTTTTATTGATTTCAGAGAGGAAGGGAGAGGGAGAGATAGATAGAAACATTAATGATGAGAGAGAATCATTGATCAGCTGCCTCTTGCACAGCCCCCACTAGGGATCAAGACCGCAACTTGGACATGTGCCCAGACTGGGAATAGAGCCGTGACCTCTTGGTTTATAGGTCAGCACTCAACCACTGAGCCACACCAGCTAGGCAAGATATTGTTTTAAGAAAAATTAGATTTAGTAACTGACTTGCCTAGCTGAGATCTCAGCAAAGCTTAACAGGCTAGACTAGAAACAACTTTCTTAGTAAAGGGACTAATGAAAATTGACCTGGAATTGTGAATTTCAATACTATTTAAGAGTATTTCTCATTTCTATGTGTCACAAGTTGTATATTACGAGATTTTTTTGAAGAAGGCAAGATCATGACTGAAACAGGAGGAAAGGATTCATGGATAATCTGAAAGGAGTGAATGGAAAAACAATGAATGAAAAATAGTCACAGAAAAGAATTTCAGAGAAGGAATAATGAGAATATGTAAGAGACAATAGAAATAAAAGATATTCCTATTTAGGAAACTAATTTTTAAAACTGTACATATGAATTATTTATTTAAATGATGATGTTTGAATTATGTGTTTAAATGATGTTTATCTGGTGGTAGTAATGTAAAATGAGGTTTTAATAAGTAGGAGGTACTTTAAAATTTTATGATAGGCACTTAAACAAAGGTAATTGAAGGGATTCTAGAAAAGGTATTAGAAAATCAAAGTGATAAAACTCATTATATAAATAAGAGATAAGATGTATTCTTTTTACTGATTCCTAAGACAGAGTGTAGTAATGTCCCAAGACATTATGCAGCAGTTCAACTTAATTTTTCTGTTTTATGACAATGTGATATTGGGATGGCTTAGACATTTAATTTTTAAAATTTAACTTAATTAATCAAATCTGAGTCACTGCTAAGGGATTAGCCTCACAGACCAGCTCTGACCAGTGAGCTCAACAGGGATTGGCTGAGCACCAAATGAGGTCATCAATTGAGCATTGTGTCCTAGGCTGCTGGGGAGAGTATAAAAGGGGGCGAATAAGCCTGGCACACTGGCTCTTCAAGTAGTTTCTGAACATGTAGGCAGCAGGGCATATGATAGGTAAGTAGAGAAGAAAACAAGTACCAGGTACTGTAGTAACTGTCTGAGTTAATGTGAGTGGTCAGACTGGGTACTGATGTTAGAGAAAGGTATGTGTGTGGGGTGATGAGGGGGTGAGAGGAGGTGGAGGGGTAATGGGAGATGGGAGGAGGG